GTGGTGGTGGCGGTGATGGTGGTGAAAAGAAAACGACGACAAATTGCCCACAGGCAGATGAATAAAAAAAAGAAGAAGAATTTGAATTGTAAAAACTACAGCAGAAATAGGATGATGATGATCGATTCCAATTAGATCAAAACGGGTTTTTTTTCTATTCATCGACAAAACAAGCCTGGAAAAAAAATTTCAATTCAAACAAAACATACACGAACATAGACAAAATCCAATCAAATTAACAACCTGGGCGTGTGTGTGTGTGTGTGTGTGTTGTGTGTGGAATTGTTGAGATAACCCGAAAAAACGCTGATCATAAAATACACAAGTAGGAGCCAACAACAAAAAAAAATTGAATGAAAATGATGAAAATCAAGATCAAAATTATTGTTTGATTATCAACCAACCACCACCACCACCAAACAATCATTATCACTACACCATTATCATCATAATGACAATTTAGCAACGACGACGACGACGACAACGACGACAAGATAACAAATTATCACTACAACAACAACCATTATCATTATGGATTATCGTTGAAAAATTTTTCTATTTCAGATACAATTTTTTGTTCTTTTTTGTCTGATTGAAAAATTATGTAAATCAACGACCCGACCACACACATACATACATACACACACACACACACACTCAAATTGTTCCAGCAGCGATCCATTATACAAAAATGGATCATGATCAATGAAAGAAAACAAAAAAAAAAATTTCGAGCCACACACACAGAATACGATTAATATTGAATCAATTTTCATTTTTTTTCTGGTTATTGAACACAATAATCGTCATCATCATTATGATGATGATGATTCTTTGAATTCTACTCCAGAAAAAAAAAGAACCAGAACCAGAAAAAACTCAAAAAAAAAAAATCAGCTCAAATTCATTCATTACATAAAGATAACAAAAAAAAAAAAAAATGAAAAGATTGATTTCAAGAATCAAGAAACATTTGCACAAAAAGAAATCGATTCGATTGTACAATTCTTTCCCTCTCGCTTGTTGTACATTACATAATAGAACGACACACACACACACACACACAGCAAAATGACAATAACAATAATTCAATTTATATGAAAATGATCATCATCATCATTATTATTGATGCGGATAAATTTCATTTGAAAATTTTGATGATTATATAATAATATGGAATTATCATCAATTGGATTTAATAATCAACACACAAATACACGCAGACAATAATGATGATCATCAATTCTTTTCATATATCCGGATATTGTCATCATGTTGATCATTGTCATATTGGTCATAAAATGATGATGATATATAAAATTATAAACCGAAACGATGATTATGATGGTTTTTTTTGAAAAAAAAAAAAAAAAAAAAAGATGGAAACAACAACAAAGGGTTAATTTCCTGATGATGATGACGATGGTGATGATCTGTGATTGATAATCATTATTAATATTAATGTCAATGATGATGATCATGATAATTAATCTTCATTCATCCGTTTATGAATACAAAACAGTTCAAATTCATTGGATTTCAATGCATAGTTATGAAAAAAATCAAATCTTTATTTCATTTTGTGTGTGTGTGTGTGCTTGCGTCTTATAATTTGATTATTATTATATGGAATTGAAATGGTTAAAGAATATTAACCGACCACAAATATTATTCTGTGATTGTTTTTTTTTCATCAGTTTCATGCTTTCTATCAAAAAAATGGACCATTGAGATTTGATTCAAGTTAAAAGTTCAAAGTTCTATTAATTTATCAGATTTCTGGTTTGTCTGATTTTTGTGCCAGAAAATGATGATAATCCCAAAGGAATATACTGGAATAGAATATAACCGGATGATGAACGAGAAAATAAAACACACACAGAGAGAGAAGAGAATTTAATTTATAATCAAACCGGTCGATTGCTGTGAAGCAAAGCAAAAAAAACCTGTAGTTTTTTTGTGGTTAATAGAGAAAAAATCACAAGCCCCTTCATGATTCTTGATGATCATCATCATCATCAACAACAACAACAACACAGAATTTCCTTTTTCATTCATCAACAGAAACCACTGAAAAAAACCTCATATGGAAAGATTCATTCATTCATTCATTCATATGCTTGTAGTATAGTAATTTTTTTTAAACGGAAAAAAGTCATCAAACTTGAATTAACCTCACTAGCAGCATTCCCGTCTACATACATACAGGCTGATTGTGAAAAGTTTTTTTTTCACATTTGAAAAACAGAATTTTTTTTCGTCCAAAAACAAAACAAAAAAAAAGAAAGAAAACCATCAGACCAAAACCATATTATAAGAATTACAATGATGATGGAACCGATTAAAATTGCTGAATTTTTTTTTCTGGTGGTTCCAACAACAAAAATTCGTTGTTGTTGTTGTTGTTGTTGTTGGCTGTTGTAGTTTATAACAATATTGAAATTTAATTGACAACAACCCACCACCACCACCACAACAACAACAACAACAAGCACAAGGGAAACTATATAGACATGAAAGTGGCAAAAAAAAATTTCCAACCAAAACAAGACTTGTATCCAGAATTGGAATTTTTATTGTTTTTTTAACAACAACAACAAAGCTGTCAAGAAATGTGTGTGTGTGTGTGTGTGAAAAAAAAGTCAACCAACGGGATCGGACATTGGAGGAAGTAGTAGAATGAGAAAAAAACAACAAAAAAAAAAAGAATTTCCGGTTTATCACCGGAAACATGATGGTTCCGTTTATCAACCACCAACTACACACCTCTTAACTTCAATTCAAGTTTTAAGTGTTGGTTATAAAAAAAAATACGAAAAAAACTTTTGAATCAAAAAATTTTTTTCCCTTCATAAAACGTTCCGCTTGCATGACATTTACCCGGCGATGATGATGATGATGATGATGTGACTATCGAGTTTTTGAAACGAAAAATAAGAACCAGAACTTTTCAAAGAATTTTTCTTTTGTTTTTTTTTTTTTTTTTTTGGTTCTCACCATTGTCTTGTTTATGGCCTGGAAGAAGCCAGTTCCAGAATTCACCATCGCTTCACAACCAGAGAGAGAGAGAGAGAGATAGCATGAAATTGCATGCAACAAAGTTTTTCTGGTTTCTGCTGGCGGCTGTTAGCTGTGAACTGTGTGAACACACAAGTTATGAATTCAAACCAATCGAAATGATGACAATAAAAAAAAAAATTTGGAAAGAAATCCAACCTGGAAAAGTGAAAACGTTTTTCCATGGAAAAAAATTTTAAAAAAAAACACGTTTATCATGAATGAATCTGGATGAAAAAAATGAATTTCACTCTCTTTCTCTCTCTCTCTCTCTCTCTTTTCCAGAAAGTCATTAAGGACAAAAAAAAGTAAGAAAAATGAAACTATTGTGATCCAATAATAATAATAATAACAACAACAACAACAACAACAAAAACAACAACAAAAAACAGTAGCCATGGAGCAAACAAATATAATGATTCAATTGCATGACATTTACATTTAAATTCATAGCATATTGTTGTTCATTAAAATGTCAAATGTCGAATTGGCAAAGAGAGAGAGAGAGAGAGAGAGAGAGAGAGAGAAAAAATGAAAAATAAAACTGGTACCACGGTGTGTGTGTGTGTGTGTGTGTGTTGATCACCTGGATTCAGTATGATTTTTTTTCAATTTTAAAAATTTAAAAATTCAGCCATTTGGTCGATACCATGACAGTATCGCTGATTGATTGATTGATTGGTGTGTGGATCAACCAGAAAACCAAAAAAAAAAAAAAATAAAAAAAAAAAATAAAAGTGACAAAATTAATGTTCACTCTTCAAAAATAATCAATTCATTGATTATCGATAGAGAAAATTAAAAAAAAACAAAACAAAACAAAAATCAATGAAAATCACACCTAGATAATATCCAAAATAAATCGTGTGATGAATCGATTGTCAATATATATCGATTAAAAAAAAAACAAAATTTGTTGCCCATCGTTTATCGACCATCACCACCACCACCACCACCACCACAAAAAAAAAAAAAAAATTTTATTTTAATCAATCACAGTAGTAGTGGTAGTCATTGAATATCGAATATATTAATCTCTCTGAGTAGGAGGAAGAAGAATCAAAAAAAAAATCGAATATCATCGATCTGTAGATTTCAATCCATATTTTTTTTTTATTTCTTTTGGATCGGTTATATATATCGATATTCGATATTTGTCAACTCACACCCAAACAAAGTAACCGTTTAGTTTTAATAAATTGATCTTTTGAACACCTTGGAACCGACAAAATATAAAAAAAAAAAATTTGTCAACATTGTTTTCAATTATTAAAACAAAAAAAACGACCAATTCAATGGGGAAAAATTTGATTAAAATCAATTAATTGATTAGAAATGGTGATGGTGGTGGTGGTTGGTGAGTAGTAGTAGAATATCATCAGATCAATCAATCAATGAATGGTTAGCTAGTTTAGTTAGTTAGTTAATATACAAAGCATGTGTGTGTGTGTGTATATATTTAACATTATCAGTGACAAAATAAAAATCGAAATTTTCGATTTTTCTTCTTTCTCTCACTCTCCCACTCATATTAATGTCAATAATAATTTTTTTTTTCTTTCACAAAAAAACTTGACATAGAATCTTTTGCTTTTATTATTATGGTCAATAAAATTGACTTTTTTTCGGTTCCGGTGATGATGATGATGATGGTGGTGGTGGTGGTAAAAATACGGTTTTTTTTCCTAAATCTCGGTCAATAAATTCAGTTTCATATTGCTGTTACTGTTATTTTATATATCGATTCTAAAGTTGATATTATCAACACATATCTAAAATGAATGACGGGTCAATAAAATGGATTTTCATTCATTCATTCATTCATTCAGTAGGCTAGAAAACAATAACATATGTACCATTAACCTCTTTTAACAATGAATATATGTACATTATATATTTAAATTATTACATAAAGAAAAAAAAAAAAAAAAAAGTAAACATACCAGCCAAACGTAATGCAGACATACGTTGAAATTCTGGTTCTTCTAACCATTTTTGCATACGACGAAAAGTTTCACGACCAGATTTCAATTTTGACCATGGTTTTGGATTTCTTAATAGATCGGATAATGTTCCTTGTGATCGACATAATACACGTTGAGCAAATATTGCCTGTGGTATACTATAACGTTTCAATTCGGCCGATATACGTTGAGCCAATTCTTTTGTATTGATTTCTTCTTGATCATCAGTGGATGATGTTGTCGATGCAGCCGAACCAATTGAATTTGTTTCGACATTACCACCATCACCACCACCGTTATGATTTGATGATGAAGAACCATATTTTCCATGATGTGTATGATGTGAATCAATTACATCAATATCTTTACCACCACTAACCGAACTTATTGGTGATATAATAGATGCAGCAGCAGCAGCTGCTGCAGCTGCCGCTGCTGCTGCTGCATGATGATGTAAAGAGAAACCGGAACTAGATGGTGGTGGTGGTGGTGGTGGTGAACCCATCAATTGTGAATGAGTATTACCAATATTATTCGAATGATGAGGATGATGATGATGATGATGATGTTGAAGTTGAAGTTGATGCTGTTGTTGCTGTTGTTGATGATGATGATGATGATTATGATTAAGTAATAATTGATGATGATGACTAATCAATGGTACAGTAGGTATTGGTAATGGTGGTGGACTTGGACTTGATGTATTTAAATTTAATTGTTGATGTTGACCACTTCCACGGCCATTAACACTTCCGGGGCTGTGTTCTTCATTATTGTTATTGTTATTATTATTATTATTATTATTATTATTATTACTGGAACCGGAATCCATATTATTATTATTATTATTATTATTGTTCATGGTTGATATTGGTGAATGTAATTGAGCACGTCCATTACCACTACCATTAGGTGATGAAGAATGAGCCGTTGGTGATGGCGATGTTATCGTACTGGACATATCTCTTAATGTTCCAGCATAATCATATGGACCACCACTACATGGTGAACTGATGCTACCACGATCTGATGGTGATTGTAATGAACTGCCACCACCACCACCACCAACACTGGCACCGGTAACGGAACCACCACCTAAAATTAAATCAGCAGCATTTGCAGCCGATGATACGGATGTTATCACCGATGGATTACCACCGTTAATCATTGCAGCTGCAGCAGCAGCTGCAACCGCTGCTGATACATGTTGATTATGATGATGATGGCTAACAACCGGTGAATTTGATCCGGCAACAGATGAATATGATCCAAGCATTGATCCGACAACAGTCGCTTGTTGTTGTTGTTGTTGTTGTTGAATATTCCGTTGCAACGATGATGATGATGCTAAATATTGTTGGGCGTATTGTTGTTGAGCATGCTGCTGGTGTTGTTGTTGTTGTTGCTGCTGTTGTTGTTGTTCGGAAACCGCTTCTAATTGTGTCATTCCATGATGATGCATATGATGCATTAATGCAGCAGCCGTTGTAAAACCGGCAGGTGATCCTGCACCAGGATGATGTGGACCATGTAAATGAGCCGTATTATGATGATGATGATGTGCACTAGCAGCCGCTGCAGCATGATAATGATGTTGAAATTTTTCCGACATTGTTGATATCGGTGGTAATGGCTGTAATGGTGTTAATGTTGCATATGATCCGGTTGCCTGTACAAAACCGGTGGGTGTCATACGTCCATTTAATGTTTGATGTGGATGATGTTGGCCAACACCACCATTAGTGCCCCCATTAACACCAGCTATTGAATGATGATGTGAATGATGATGAGGATGATGTGGATGAACTGTTTGATGGCCATGATGATGATGTGTATGATATGGATGATGAGCTGTAGCAGTAGCTGATGCTGGATGATGTGGATGTCCGGTATCCGTCGTGGATGCAGCAATTACACTGCGAAAATCCGTTGCATCAATCATTATATCGTTGTCGTCGTTTTCGTTATCTTGAATTTTAGATTTATTATTACTATTGAAATTTGTTTTCGATATTCGAAACGAATCAATAACTAAAACATTATCATCATCATCTGGTTCGTCTTGTATCTATTATATATGATTGAAAATTTATATTTAATCAGAATCAAATCAGAAAAAAAAGAAAAACAAACTAACCGGTGAAATTGGACGTGTTGTAGCGACAGCAATTTCATGTACAATCTGATCCGATGGTAATCGTAAATCTTGTGGACTTAATTCATCATCAACAACATCACCTGGTGATGTTATCGATCTGCTATCGTTATCGTCGTCTTTGTCGTCGTTATTGTTATTGCTATTGTTGTTGATTAAATTCAAATTTAAATTTAAATTCAATGTTTTAAAATTATCGTTCAACAATATTGATTGTTGTTGTTGTTGCTGATGATGATCAGATTTATTCTTTGAAATAATTGTCATCCGACGTTGATCGTTTATCGTTGATGAATGATGTAGAATATTTGGGAAATTTTTTATAATTTTCTTTTTAGTAGTTTTTTTCTTCAGATCGGTCTTTTCTTTGGGCACTGTTGTTGCTGTTGTCGCTGTTGTTCCAGAAATAGTACCAGAATCAGAACCAGAAGCAGTCGCCGTAGCAGAAGCAGAAGCAGCAGCAGCAGCAGCAGCCGCAACGATAGCAGCTGCTGAACAGTTACCAAATAATGATGATAATAATGAGGCGGAGTTTAAGGCGTTCATAGGCGGCGACTCGACTAGATTCTTTTGGATCATTGATGAAACATTGATGGAACTTTCGTTGTTGTTGTTGTTGCTATCATTATTATTCGATATGGTTGGAGTCGTCGTCGTGGTCGTCGTTGTCGCTGTCGTTGTCATCGTCGGCATTGTCGTATTGACAACAATCAATGGTACGATAAGAAAACCACCGGCTGCTGCTGCTGTAGCTAATGCCTGTGTAAATTGTGGATTCAATATTGAATTTAATGAATCGAATGATGATTTGGTAGTCGCCGTTGTCGTTGCCGTTGTCGTTATTGTTGTTGTTGCTGTTGTTGTCGCTGTTTCCAAGGTGTTTGCCATTTTATAACTTGATGATGATAACGGAAGTTGGATGTCTAATACAGATGATAAAATATTCGAAGATTTTGATTCAATAATATTGGGAATTATTTCCGATTGAATATTCGTTGTTGTTGCTGAACAAGTATTCATTATAATCACAGCATCATCGTCATCATCGTCATTATCATTATAATCATTAATTTCGTCATCATTATCGAACGATTCATGGCCATGATGATAATGGCCATTATCCATCATGTACAATTGTCATTGTTATTGTCTTTTCCAATCAATTTGTCATCATTATCATCATCATCGTCGTAGATGAAAAATAATTATCGAAAAAAATGATTTGTTCTTTTCTCGAACAAAAGAAAGAAAAAAAAAAAAAAAAAAAAAAAATCAATTCTGTTCATTTTTTAGAAAAAAAACACATTGATCGAAACTCATTCAGAAGAGAACTTTGAAATAAAAAAAATAATAATAATAATGAATTTTCTGTTTCCATCTGGTGGCCAGAATTTGAATTTTAATAATGATCAAATTTTTTTTCTTTCACTCACACAATCGATCCATCACTATCGATCGAAAAAGGAAAAAAAAATAGAGCTTATGCGCCATCTATCGCCATTGAAAATGATTAAAATATCTATTTTTCTAAAGAATTTTCATTGTAAAAATCCATTGGTGAAAAATTAATTAATTAATTAATTAATAATCATTATTCCATTTTTCATTTGAATTCAAAACATTTATTCATTCATTGAATGATAATAATCTTCACCAATTTATATGCACACCCACACACATCATCACTGCGTTATAAATGAAAAAAAACCGATCGATATCAAAGAATTTTTTTGATCGATCAATTTTTTTTCTCTTTCGTTAAAAACGACCAGAAAAAAACAACAACAACAAACAAAAAAATTCATCAGAAATTCTTCATCGACCACCAAAGGAAAAAAAAATAGAATAAATGAACAGTATGTTTCAGGAATACGCAGACACACACACACACACACACTTATACACACTTACAATATATAACGGTAAACTGTACGATTCTGTGCCATAGACAAAGACGACGACGACAATAAACAAACAGGCAAAAAAAAAAAAGAAATCGACCGATTTCTGGTTAAAAAAAAGATATCGATTATTTTTTTTTCGACCAACAATCCAAAGACGACGACGACGACGACACATATAATCGATATGGAATGATAATAAAAATAATAATAACGAGCAACAACAACAACAACAACAAGGAATATATTAAATGTTGGAAATAAATAGTAGTGGAACTGGTTTTAAAAGTGAACCATCAAAAAAGTTTTCTCAGTAGAATCCAGAATATCGATCCAAAAATTGCATATTTTATATGAGCGAAAAAAAAAATTTTGGAACACACACACACACACAGACAGACACAGTGCATAGGAATTTCATAATACAACACCACCATATATCTCTATATATAATGTCCATGGTTCCATGTTCCATGTTCCATATTCCCATTTTGTTTCCTATATATATATATATTACCAAACAGACGAACATATACACAAATGTAGAGTTTTTATTTAAAATCAAATTTTTTTATTATTATTATTATTATTGAAATATTGATTTTGATAGAGAATTAAAATAATCACATCATCAATAAAATACTTACCTGAATATTTATAGAATTTAGAATCAAACAAAAAAAAAAAAAAAGAAAAGATTCACTTACGAATTTCTTACCCATATAATAATTGATGATCATGTTGATTCATCACAATGACGTTTGAAATGAATGAAAATTTTCTATATGAAACTGAATGAATGAATTGGTTTTAAAAATCAATAAAAATAATCAAAATTCTTTTCTGTATATATTGTTTTTATTTGATTTGATTGGTCAAAGATGATGATGATTACTCGTAGTAGTAGTAGTAGTAGGTGGCCATTATTTTTTTTGTATGTTTTATCAATTAAAATATATAATGAATTTGAAATGGTTGCTGATGTTAATAAGTGCATAAGAATCGATGATAGGTGACAGGTGACAGGTGATAGTGGTGGTGGTGCTGTTGGTGCATAAATGATAATGATTTTTTGTTGTTGTTGTTGTTGTTGTTTATAAATTTTGATTATTATGAATGTATATTGAATTACTTAGAACGAAAAAAAAAATTATAGATTTGAGAATACAAATGTTAAAAAAAAGTTGAAAAATTTTTCAATGTACAATGTACACAAAAAAAAGACAGATAATGAGATAGAGAGGATTTTAGATCGAATATAGATATTGAATAAAAAAAATGAATGAATTTTCTCCATTATGAATATGAATGAGAATACTGATACAGTAAGATTGTCGTTAATAGAATGAATGAATGAATGATGATGATGATGAATAACTTGACCAGATTTTTTGATCATGATGATTATGATGAATTATTCTACATTAGTCTGAAACAAACAAAGAAAAAAAAAAAAATTTGAAACGAAAGAAAACGAAAAAAAAATCTTGATGAATGTTTTTTTTCCTTGTTGACAAATTTTAAATTTGAATTTGAATTTTGATCATGATGATGTATGATTAATCTGATGACTATAATAACTAACTAATAATAAATAATGAGATTAATTAATTGCAAATTAATAATTAATTGATTGATTAACGACGGCCAGTATTACTACGAATAGGTCCACCACCACCACCACTATGATGATCCGATGTTGAATGATGTCTATATGATGATGATGATGATGATGTATGGCCATTACTATATGATCTTGTTGATGATGAATGCATGGGTGCTCCCAATGGATGATCATAACGATTATATCGATCAATACCATTTGTTCGGCGTGATGTGAATGATGATGATTGCTGTGGATATGGTGCAGCAATCGATCTATGATGTAATGGTGTACGAAATGTACGATCATTACCACTACGATGATCATTACTATTATTATTATTATTAAATCCACGATGTTCTATTGTTGAACGGCCACCAAATCGCATTTGACCAGATTCTTTTTGGCCACCAAAACCACCACCAAATCGTCTTGGTTTCCAATTCTTTTCTGTACGGCCTAATTCACGATCAACTAATATACGACGACCATCCAACAATGTATTATGTCCTTCAGCATATGCACGATCAGCATCTTTTGCACGACGAAATTCAATGAATGCATAACGACGTGAATCACCGGTCAATACATCACGAATCAAAAACAATGATCGAATATCACCAAATCGTTCGAAATGCTGCATATAAATGACAAAAAAATCAAACAAATGAAACAAATTAGACATCATCAACTTACCATTCGTATTGTATTCTCATCAGTAGTACCATTCAAACGACCAATAAATAACGTTTTTTCCGGATCACTACGATGATCTTTGGCTGGCCGTAAATCTGACTATATTTTTTTTTTTGATGAATGAATAGAATATGAATGGAATCATTAGATTAAAATTGATTGAAATTTTTTTGAAAAATGAGAGTATCATGTTAAAATTAATAAATTCTAATAATAAAAAAATCAATTCTAACATTCATGGCACGAACAAGTGCACGATCATGGGGACGATTATCATGATTATCATAATGTCGATGGCTAGATGGAAATGGTGGTGATGTTGATCGTTGTCGTTGTTTTGAAGGATAGCCAACCTTGATTGGATCATAACTTGATGATCGTGCACGTCTTGATGATGATGATGATAATGGTGGTACTTTTGATGATGATAATGATGGTGGTGGAGAACGAGGTGATCTTGGTGATGGTGATCGATGTCTTTGTTGTTGTTGTTGTTGATGATGATGATGATGATGGTGATGATGATGATGCGGATGACCATGACTAAGACTACCACCACCAATTCGATCATCATTTGGTGATGATAAATGATGATTACGTCGATGATGATTACCACCACCACTACCACCATTTGATGTTGAACGATTCCATTCCGGTGATGATGATGGTGATGATGAAATACCACCGGATCTTTGCGGTAATAATGATGATGATGGTGGTGGTGGTGGTGCATGTGATGATAAATCATCACCATGATCACTACTACTGTGGCGACGTTTACGTTCACCACGATAGCTCATAGTTATTGATTGATTGATTGATTGATTTTATATTCTGATATTCTGATGATGAAAAAAAAAAAATTTTTTTGGATAAATAACAAATTTTAATTTATAGCAATCAATGATCAATCATCAGAATTACAATTCCATCTGAATGAAATGATAATAATAACCAACAATTGAGAAAATGAATCGAAAAAAAAAAAATCGAATCGAATCGAATGAATCACGAAAACAATGGAAAAATTTAATGCATGCGAAACGAAATGAAAAAGAGCATCAAGCGAAAAAAAAACCGCATCGTAGTAGTAGCATTGATAATTGTGGCCAAACAAAAAAAGAGAGATAGGAAGAGAGAGAGAGAGAGAGAGAGGGTGCTTCAATTTTGCCGAGTCAAATTATGAAAAAAAAAAATTCATTTGGAACCATTCAGGTGGAAATAGGTAGGTTTTTTTTTTATTCTCACATCATCATAGTTAATTGGGTTGAAATGGAAACAAACAAAACGAAAAAAAAAGTTTGAAAATTTTGTTCGATTGGCGCTCAAAATGTTATGCCGTAGTATATGAACGGTTAAACGAAGTTTTTTTTGTGATATATCACAATTCTTAAATTTTTTTTTTTTTGGTTTTCAATAAAAAAAATATTTTCTTGATCATCAACAATTTATGGATCAAATTGTTGTCAATAATTCAAATGGTTCTTCTCAGGACCAAATTACTAAATGCAAAAAATCTTATTTTTGTGATTCGTGTAATCAATCATTCCATTCAGCGTGGAATCTTAAAAGACATAATCAACGAAAGCATCAAGAAAATAATCAACCACCATTGCATAAAGAAAATATAGAGACATCAAAAAGGTTTGAATGTTGTTTATGTGGTGAAAAATATGCCGGTTCTTTATCCACACATTTAAAATCATCACATGGAATCGATATTCAGACAAAAAATTTGAAATTTGAAAATTTTCAAATGTTCAAATCATTTTTGGAGAAAACTGAAGAAGAAACGTACTCCAATTATTCGACAAGAAGAATTGTACGTGATTCCAATCATCAAGTTACATATGCCAATTATATTTGTTCACGTCGTGGATCAATGCCGGCTAATAGATTGGAACGAAAAAGAGCATCGAAATCTAACAAAACAATTAAAATTGGCAATATATGTCCATCACAGATTAGTTTAACTAGAAACAAAAATGGCACATACACTGCCAAATGGACAACAACCCATGTTGGTCATGAATTAGATGTGAAATTTTGTCGATTGCCAAAAAAACATAAAGAATTGATTGAACATTATCTCAAGATTGGATTACCATCATCGGTTATAAAGAAAAAAATGAGCAATCTTTTGGGTAATTTTTCTGATGAAATAGCTATGGAACGAATGGTCACTGCCCAGGATATAAAAAATATCAAAAAACAATTAAAAATATGATGAATGATCATATTGTTGAAAAACATACAGAATCTTGTGAAATGATAACCGAATTCGAGGATGAAACAAATCCAATGGATATCTTGGATCCAACAATGTCCATATCAAATGAAGGTAAATAATAATTTTGATATCATTTATCTTCATATATTTCTTATTTCATACTTTTTATTTATGATCAATTCAGATGATACAATGAAATTGGCAAATATAGAAAACGTACATAATGGTAATGAATCAAATGAATCTAGCAAACAATCGTCAGATTTTGCAACCACAGAGAATGTTTCGAAAAAATTTTGGCTCTTTGGAAAATATATATTAAAGAAGCAGAAAGAATTAAAAACACGATGAAAAAAATTAATGACATGTTTGCTCAACCACAACATGATGAAGATCATTATAATGAATTGGTAGCAACTATTTCGACTATTTTTCCACATTTATTTGAATTGAATAATAATTTAATGGATCAAATTGAAATGAATGAATGACAGTAACATTTGAAATTTTAATCTCAATATATAACATCCATATATCCAATATCCATAATATAATAAATCGAAAATTTACGAGAAAAATTGTCAAAATATCGTGTGTGTGTGTGTGTGTGTATGTTTGTCGCTTGATCAATCAAATCAAATCAAAAATTAGTCAATTGCCGAACATCATATCACATCGATATCGTTAATAATTATTGACAACAACAACAACAACAACAACGACGACGACAACAAAAAGAAAGTCGAACCTTCACACACACACACACACCATCATCATCGATTGTGTGTGTGTGTGTGCGTATCAACAATTCATCGACTGATTCATCATTACATTCATATCATATATCATGGATCCGCATCATATCTTTTATCCATTGATTATGATTTTGTGATGATTTGAAAAATGTGAGCAACAATGAACAGAAAAAAAAATTACACATGAAGAAAGAAAATTTCTTTTTTTTTTATTGGCAACAAAATCTTCGTCTGTGGTATAATCTATTGATATGTGCGTGATTGTGGATGTTAAAGTAAACTAAATAAGAAAAAAAAACATAAAAATTCCGATGTAAAAAAACCGTTAGACGAGCGCTTTCATCATCATCATCATCATTATTATTGAGGTTGTGATCCACTTTATTCGATTCGAATTCAAGAATTTAATAAATTTAAAAAATAAATAAATCCTGTGATGGAGATTCCACCACCGATAACAAACATTACTGTTGTTGATGATGATGAACAGAATTATTTCAATGATGATGACGATAATATACTTTCACAACAACATGATGTAAAAAATTCCAAGAATATCATTGAACCATCAGCAGTAACAACAACAACAACAGCTCAACTAAATGATAATAATAATGATTCAAGACGATCACCACCACGATTATATCTTTTATATGGAATAATCATATTACAAACGGTCATATTTCTTTCTGAAATGATTATCGATCAAATGGTACATTCAATGTTAATATTGGCCGATGCTTATCATCATCTATTCAATTCGTTCAATGCAATATTATTGGTTGTTTGCTACAAGGTATTTGTATTTCGAATTTTTTTTTTCGTTATTCTGATCATTTTTTTTTTTCATTTGTTTCTTAGATTTCCAATCAAATTACAGTCAAGAATACATTTGGCTGGGTACGAACCGAATTACTTGGAATGTTAACAACAATCACATTCATTGTGGCATTGATATTTTCATTACTCATTGAAGGTGCATTACAATTGTTGCATTTACATGAAATTTCTGGTCCAACAAATCCAAAAATTTTGTTCATTTTTGGTATTTGGAGTTTAATCGTAAACATATTATATGTATTGACAATTAATGGTATGTGGATGATGGATTTTTTTCTTGTCTCTAAATAATCAATTAATCATCACAAAATCAAACAGGCGTCATGACCGATAAGAAATATAAACAGACTACACAAAAAGAACGTTCATTTTCAACGGCCAAATGTCAACTTCGTCGTTTATCATCATCATCGTCTTCATCGAAAAATCGAACGGAACTGATAGCTAAAAGTAAAAGTAAAAGTAAAAATATTCGAAAAAAAATTAGTAAAACATCTATGATGACAACAACGACGACGACGACATCATCATTTCCACGTAATAAAATTGAACCAGATGAAGATCTGGATCTAATCACAACTGATGGCAATAATGATCGTACAGCTACAATGGATCCTACATCATGGATGGATGAAGCATATCGTGTGGAATTTTCTCCATCATCACCAGCGCCACCGAAATCATCATCATCGGAAACCAAATCAAATTGTTTCTGTCAATCATTCGTTCAGGGAATCTTGAGTCCTTGTTTTGTTATATTTTGTAGCTTTCTAATCACATTGGCACAACATGGTAATACACAAGGATATTGGGAATTGACAACCGTTGAAATGATCGATCCATTGATTGGTATTATAACGGCAATCAGTTTATGTATAACATTCTATCCACAATTGAAGAATACGTTTCTAATATTGATGCAAACCATACCGGAAGGTGTAAATATTGTCCAATTGAAACGTGAAATATTGGATCGTTTTCAGGTGATTGATAATATTCACGAATTTCATATATGGCTTTTGAATGGATCGGATATTGTTGTTACATGTCATATTGTATTACCACCACAGAATACAGCCGAATATAGCCGTTTATTTGATGAGATAAAACAATTTCTTCAATTTAAATATGGTATCCGTTATATAACCATACAGCCAGAATTTACGACAAAAAATGATGATCATGATAATCATCATTATCATAATTATCAAATTGAACGTGAACAACGTAGACATTCAAGTAAACATTGTAATAATCAATGTCTTGTTAAATGTCCATGTGATCGTAATGGTGATTGTGAACAATGTTTAATCAAAAGTTGTTGTAATATCGATACAACAATCGATAGTGTTGTTGTAATCGATCATCATCATCATCATCATCAAAATCGTCGTCAAACATCGGAAAAACATTAGTATACTAATTATTATATTATAATGACGATGATAATGATAATAATTATGACATTGATGAATAATTATATGATGACCATATGATTCACATAAAATATAAATGAATGAATGACATCCATAAATAGATTGATTTGGTTATCCCATCATCATCGTCATCATCATCATCACACACATGCACACATCTTTGAATGTTATTGATCCTTCTGTCTCTTTTGACAATTTTTTTTTCTTTAAATATGATGCTGTAGTGCCCAATTTTTTTTTATTGCTCATTGATTTATCGCATCTTATTCACACCTCCCCACACCCACATCAACATACTTGCTACAATCACCAATCAAAATACATTAAAATATTTTGTTTTATTTTTATTATTTTTATTATAAATATTTGGTAATTTTAAGTAAAATCAAATGGCATTAAAATAGTGTCCATCAAAATTAATGTTCAAAAAAGATCCAACTGATTTGATTACAAGTCTTGATTTGTCTTTGAATATTCTTGCAATTGAAATTTATTGAAAACTGTGAGCATTGGCATTTTGAGTATTGATTTCCGATGTGGTCTAATGGTTAGGATTTCTGGCTTTCAACCGGAAGCAATAGTAAAATAAAAAAAGTACCCAGGCGGTCCGGGTTCGATTCCCGGCATCGGAGTTTTTTTTTTATCTTTTTGAGATTATTAAGAAATGTTTTTTTTTAAATTTGATGTTTATGTTTTGTTTTTTCCTTATTCAACAATGCAATACAATATTTTATATCAATAATAACAGCCAAAAACAACAACAACAACAACAAAAATTTGAATTTATTTCACATTTTTTTTCTAAATATTAAAATTCAAAAAATATATTTTGAAATTACCAATAAAATTTTTATTTTATATTTTATTATAAATATTTGGTAATTTTAAGTAAAATCAAATGGCATTAAAATAGAAAAACTATGTCCATCAAAATTAATGTTCAAACTTAACTTCAAAAAAAAAAGATCCAACTGATTTGATTACAAGTCTTGATTTGTCTTTGAATATTCTTGCAATTGGAAACATAAAATTTATGCCAAGGAGTTTTATGACCAGAGAGTGCCCGAATTCGACAACCTGTGAGCATCGGCGTAATATCAATTCGATACGAGATTTCCAAATTGATTTCCGATGTGAACGTCATTAGGAAAGGACCACATCTGCCAATGGTTATTGTCAAATGGACAAATGCAGTAGTAAAATCGAAAAAAAAAGTACAGAAGAAGAAAAGAATTGGTGTTCCCAGGCGTGGGAAGGATTCCCATTCCGGGTTCCGATTCCCGGCATCGGAGTTTGTGAGACAGTTTTTTTATCTTTTGTAAATAAAGATTATTAAGAAATGTTTTTAAATTTGATGTTTATGCTTCCGGTCTCTATTTCCATCCAGTGGATTTGTCAACCATTTTTGACTTGTTAATTTTATTCAACAATGCAATACAATATTTTATATCAATAATTTGAATTTATTTCACATTTTTTTTCTAAATATTAAAATTAATATATAACAAAAATTTTATTTACAAGCATAAAATTCGAATAAAAAAACTTCAGAATCCATATATAAAATAAAAAAAAAAAAACAAACAAACAAAAATATCATTCTTCGGTTGAAAAATATTCATCATCATCATCATTATTATTATCTTTTAATGTTGTTGATCGTTTTTCATTACTGGTCATTCTCATCATCAATGATGGCGGCAAAATTGTTGATGATGATGGTGGTAAACGATTATTAGGATTTAAACCATGAAGATTATCAATATGATTATTATGAAAATTAATATGTTGATGTACAATGGTCGTATGTTGTATTGGTTGAGGTTGTTGTTGTTGTTGTTGTGATTGTTGTAGACGTAATCGATGATCATCATCATTATTATTATTATCATTGCCATTCAATATTGTATGATGATGTTGATGGCGATGATTATTATTAAAAATAATATTCAATAGTAAATAAAAAAATTGCATAATCATCGGAGACAACATATAAAGAATGAAAAAAGAAATGAATAATAATATAAAATTTTTCATAATAATCATTGGATTCCATGAATCAACAATATTCTGTTCGAATATTCGTTGCAATTGTGGTTGTAATTTTTCAATAAATTCCATAATTATATATGAAAATATGGCCGTAAAATATTGTGCCGATAATTCAATAAGATCTGGATTATATTCACCATATGATAATGATCGTTCATGTTCAATCTGTTTTTCCAGATAATATTTCCATAATGCACCGGTAATCACTAGATCAATAATGATGAGATTGATACAATTTCGTATGTTTACATTGAAATAATAGATAAATAATATGATCTGTATAAGTAATGCTACTACTGGTGTAATATAATAGATTAGATTACGTCTATTGAATCGTTGTAATGATAATGACCAGATGGGCAGTGAGAATGACCATTTGTTTTGAAATGATTTTTTCGATTCAATCACCATACGACGAACAAGATTTGTGACGCGAACATCAATCTGTTGGATTTGGCTACAAAATGTTTGTTTGTTGTTGTCGTGTTTTTCTTTGGTTGTGGTCGTAGTATTAGCAATAGTGGAATTATCGGATTCTTCATATTCGAAAATTTCTTGATGAATCGTTTCCAATTGTCGAATATAATTGTTGAATTCATTTAATTCTTTTAATTTAAACGTCAATTTAACAATTAAATCGTCTGGATTTTTTTCAATAACTCTCCAAAATCGTTGATCGATTTGTTTACCAATTTTTCTATATAATAATAACATTCGTTTTAAACATTCCGAATGTTTATGATTAAAATTTTTCGGTCCATCATTGTTAGATGATGAATATTGATGATGATGATGATCATCGTCATTAGCAACATAATCATCATTCGTATTGGAATCTTCATAAAATTTATCATCCCACCATGGTGAATCATTGTCATGATTATCTTCATAAAATTCATCCGCCAATGATGATGATTGCTTCGAGGTTTCATATGCTAATCATAATAATAGAAAATGAAAATTAATTTCAACAACAAAAAAAAATAACAATCAACATTTACCATTGGTAGATATTACGGTGCCATTGAAAAGAATAATGGTAGACATGAAAAATGTCCACCACGAAATATTAATTATCATGGTCATTCGATAATATTTAAAACACCAATAATGATGACAATGACGATGATTATGATGATGATTACATCAGATGTTTTTATTGAATTTTTTTTAAATGAAAATTCAACAAAAACATCTGAAAAAAAATTTTCTATTCGGTAGATGCCGTTCATCGATGATAGGACAAAACAAATTTTTTTTTATATGGTCAAAAAAACTTGTTGCGCTTGATGAATGTGAATTCATATGTTTCAATCGGCGGATTGCATGCCGATCAAACAAACAAATGCCAAACAATAAACAACAATTATATATGATGAATGAATGGATGATGATGATATTGCAACAATCCGGATTTTTCGTTTTTCTTTCCAAATCAATTCAACGTCTAAACAAACAACAATGAAACATACATTGCATCAACAAGTGTGTGTGTGTGTGTGTTTGTGTTCGCGAACATTGTTGTTCAGTTGAGTTGTTCGAGTTATCCGAATTTATTGTTTTCGTTCAATTTTTGTTTTCCTCTTTTTAATGGTGATCAATGAATGATGATGGATTATAATTGTGTTGAATCATTGTAAATGGATTCTGCGACATTCTTCGTGTGTTGTTTACCGTTTTTATTGTTGTTGTTGTTGTTGTTTTCGAATTGAATTTAAACATCGAAAGGTTGCATGTATAGAAGAAGGTGTGCATCAAGGTTTGATGATTTTTTTTTTGTTTTTCAATTAAAGAATTTTTTTATTTTTTTTTTAGATAACACACGATATTGTGCTCCTTATCCATTTTTCACTTTTCGGTCATCAGAAACTGATCGTTTGAATAATTTGAAAATTTATTTTCCATTCCGTTTGTTTGTTTATTTTTTCTGTCAACAATCTTAATTTCTTATCATCATCATCATCATCATCATCGTTACCGAATGATTATTGATTATCAATACTTACATTCCTCGTTTCGTTTCGTTTTTTTTTTACTGTATTCGAATCGAGTACATTAAGATATTTCTTTCATTTTTTTTTCGTTCTGATTATATCATCATCATCATCGAAATATACACACACGTACTACCCCGTCGTATAATATCAACAGTGAACAGTGAAAGAAAAAACCTTCAAATAAAATAAACTTCGAATGAAACAAGAAACTTGTTGAGAAAAAAAAAAAAAAGAAAAGAAAAACGGATCATCGAATCATATATATTACCATAGACCGAAAGAAAAACTTAATGAATCTATATAATGTTGATAAATGTAAAAGATGAACGAAGTAAGAAAATGATGATGATATGATAATATAGGCCTCGACATAATAAACAACAACGAATAAATTGATAAAATAAATGGGAAGGGGGCTTGATTCAATCGATCAAATAAAAAAAATATCGATGATGATGGATTTTAAAATGAAATGAAATGAAATGAAATGAATGAATGATGTGCTTGAAGGTTGTTCATTAAACATATATATAAATGATAAAATCGATAATCAATCTGGGAGAAAAAAAAATTGATCGCTCATCATTACAATCAACAGAACAAAATAATCGATACTTGAAACGATTATTTTTTGTTTTATTTTTTATTTTCGTTCACCATCATTCATCATTATCATTATTATTTTACACATTTACATCCGTAGATTTCTTCTTTTTTTTTTTGATTTACATTGGTATTCATTTTTATCACTCCAAGTACAAGTGTGATTGATAAAATTTTTTTTTTTGATGCTTGAAAACGAAAATGGAGAAAATGGTGAAAACAAATTCAAGCTTGATTTGATTGTTGAAATGAATTTTTGCATTTTGCCGTTATTTTTGTTTCTCTCATTATTTCAATAGTGAATGTTGATTGAGGTTGAAATTCAATTTTTTTTTGGTTAAGAAAAAATAGAATTCGATAACATACCAATTATTGATTAATCAAATGTGTAATGTTTCGTAAAAAAAACATTTCAATGATGGTGAAAATTCCACCCGAAATTTCAACATGTGATTCCACAACTTCATCATCATCGCCAATACAACCACCACCACCACCACCACTAGCATCATCATCATCATCAACATCAACAACAACAGCAACCACAATAAATTCTTCATCATTATCGAATGGACAATCATCAGATCAGAATCATCATCATGGTGATGATCAACAACAAAATTTTATATTAGATGGTGATAGCCAAACACAAATGAAACAAACAATTTTGAAACATAATCGTTTTACCATTATTAAAAAACAAGATTCATTTGAAGAATCGAACGATAGTAGTGCCGGTAGTGGTTTAAATATTGCAATCACCGATGATGATGGTGATATCGATAGTATCGATTGTCAACAATTAACATTTATTTCGAATAAAACATTTCCTTTGGATCGTCATTGTCATATGATTGTACCGCCAACACCAACCATTACGATACCACCATCATCATGTGATGTTCCAATAATGTCAAATAGTATGCTAACATCATTGTTTATGGTCAATAATGATGATAATATTAATATTACCAATGGTGGTGGTCATGCGATCAATATTACAACAAATGATTCGTTAAAAACATCATCAATCACCTCTCTACCACCGCCACCACCATCGCCAAAAACACCGCCATTATATGTTGATGATACCGATGATAATATTGATAATCATCATTCATTGATTGTTGTTGATAATAATCCTCGTTCATCATTTCAATCAATACCATTAGATAGAATTGGTCGCCACCATGTCAATGGTGATGTTGATCACGGTGATGATATTTGTCGTGTTGTATCCGAAATAAATGTAAATCGTCATCATAATATTGACGATCCAGTATTTTCGGATCATATTCCACCACCACCTTATCGTTTTGATACATCACAGTCGACATCGAATCTGGATAATCTTTTAATCGAAACGAATCAAATGATCAATTTTGATTATATAGATTCAACAGTTTCATTAGATTCGCAGATTTCCAATTGTCAACATATACAGCCGAAGCAACAACAACAACAACAACAAACATCATCAGCATCGACAACAATGACGGCAACAATGTTTTCATATGATAATCGATCATCAACAAATTCTGCATCATTAAATCGACAACATTCACACTCGACAACTGATCTAATAAACATACAACAACAACAACAACAACAATCACCACCACCACAATTTGAACAATTATTCAATCAACCAGGTTATTCAATACAGAATAATCATGATTCATCAATGGCCGATAATTTAATAATGCCTAAATCGATAATTATGTCAACAATGCCATCACCATATGATCGTTTAATACATTTTCGACAACGACATCAACATTTAATGACACCATCACCTACATCATCATTAGTACGACGACGACGATCATTACCTCCACAGCCATCGGCTGAATTTATTCATAGCCATAAAAATCAACAACAACAGCATCCACAATCATTATTACAAACGGATGGTCAACAACAATCGAATCCATCCGGTTATGGTGTTGGTGGTACGACACCAACATCATCATCATCACCATTACCACCATCATTGATAGCATCAAAAGAAAGACGTATCGGTCATAGACGTGTAAATGAAGATGGACAAGTTACGTATAAAAAAATCAAATCCACACAATTAATGTATTCAATACAATTGGGTATTGGCTATTCTGTTGGATCAATGGCATCAAAACCTGAACGTGATCTATTGATGCGTGATTTTATGCAAATAGAAACCGTACATTTTCCTAAATCTGGTTCACATATTACACCGGCACATCATTATACAGATTTTACATTCAGTACATATACACCGTTTGCATTTCGTTATTTTCGTGATCTATTTCGTATACAGCCAGATGATTTTATGTTATCCATAACGAATGAATCATTACAAGAATTATCTAATCCAGGAGCATCTGGTTCAATGTTTTTTCGTACACGTGATGATCAATTTATTATAAAAACGGTAGAAAAAACGGAAGCAAAATTTTTATTAAAATTATTACCTGGATATTATATGGTGAGTTTTAGGTATAATATTATCGGTTGTATTGTAAATTTTCATTTCTTTTTTTCTTTTTTTTTCGTTTAGAATCTAAGTCAAAATCCACATACATTATTACCGAAATTTTTTGGCCTCTATTGTTATGAATGTATTGGAAAGAATATTCGAATACTTGTCATGAATAATATATTACCATCCAATATAACGATACATCAGAAATATGATCTTAAAGGTTCAACATATAAAAGAAAAGCAAATGGTGAAGAACTGAAAAAAACATCACCAACATATAAAGATTTAGATTTTATTGAATATTATTATAATGATGAAAACAAAGCATTGATAACGCATTTTTCTAAAATGGCTGATCTACAGATTAATATTAGTACAACCGGTAGTGGTGGTGGTGGTGGTGTAATTGGTGGCGGTGTTGGTGGTGGTGGTACTAGTGGAACTGGCACTGGTATAGCAACTTCGAATATTATAAGTGGTGGTATTGGTACTGGTGGTGGAGCTGGTGGTGGTGGTGGTGATGATGTAGCACGATCATTTCCAACAAAAGGTGGCCTATTACTTGAAGCACCTGTTTATGATGAATTAATTGAAACATTACAACGTGATTGTCGTGTATTACAATCATTTGAAATTATGGATTTTTCATTATTGATCGGTATACATAATTATGATCAAACATTGAAAGATTATCAAAATCAAGGTATTGCCGTTAGATTGTTTGATTATGATAATGATGATGAATTACCGTAAGTATTTTTTTCTGGTTTTGTATTCGTTGTTGAGCCTGAATTAATTATTGAATTTATTTATTGATTAGTGCTGGTGCAATTCGTGCAATGAATCGTAAAGGTGAACGTCTATTATTATTTATGGGCATCATTGATATATTACAAAGTTATCGTCTTGTTAAAAAAGTTGAACATGCATGGAAATCAATTTTATATGATGGTGTAAGTTTGTTTGTTTGTGTGTGGGTGTGTATCGATTTGTATTGTTTTTTAATAATTTTTTTCTCTTCCTCCTTTTTTTCAGAGAACAATTTCAGTTACAAAACCAGATTTTTATGCAAAAAGATTTCTGGATTTTATGTGTAAAAAAGTTTTTGGCCGTCTGCCATCAACATTGGATACAACACCATCGTCATCAACAAGTTTGTGCTGTTGTTTTGTGTCGAATCAAATCATTAATTAATCTAATGTTTTTTTCTGTTTCTATTTAGGACCAAATTATTATAATTATAAACGTCAAAATAGTGCAACAATGATGAATCAACAAAGAACGCCTGGATTCCGTTCTGGTGGCCATGGATTCGGTTATAGCCGATGATATTAATATGTAATATATATAAATTAATGATGGGAAACTTTTTTTTTGGCATATATTCATCAATCGATTTCGATTTCCAGTATTTAAAAATTCCAAAATAATGCATCTACCACCACCATCACCATCATCAGCAGCATTTATTCACCTATACACTTTTTCTCCTGTACAATCATCGAATTAATGGATGTTTTTCTACTATTCGATGAAAAACAATAACAATGACTTTGCCTGTGATAAATGATTCTACTCAATCAATCAATCATTCAATCAAACAAACTTCAGAAATCAAAAAAAAAAAATTGAAATTCAGAATCAATTTTTTTTTTTGGTTTTGGTTTTGGTTTCTCAATTATCATAATATCTCATCATTTTATAATTTAATAATTTATATATCAAAAGAAAAGAAAAAAAAATTTGGCGCCATACACCAGATTCAGAATTTGTTTGTCTGACTGTCATTATCATTTTTTTTATGAATAAAAATTGAATTTTCTTTTCTTTTCTTTTCTTTTCTCGGTTGTCTGTCTGTCTGTCTTTTTTTTGCTGTCAATCGTTCGATATTCTTAATTATTTTATTATCATTGAACATCCTTGATTATGACAATATTTATCACTTGCTATTCAAATCAATCAATCAATTAAACAACTTGAACTACACATATCTTGATGATTAGATATCAACATTAACATTTGGATTGGATTTGATTGTTAATTTTTTTTTTAATTGTTATATATTGGTGATCAATAACAACAAAAAGAAGATCGCACATCAAATAAAAATACGTCGTGTTGGCATATATTTTTTTTTGTTTGTTTATCATTTGAATCAACAATCACGATGAAATTTTCACCATTTTTTCTGCTGGTGATCGCAATAGTTTTGTCACAATCATCATTCATAATCGATGCATTTAAAATTCCAAATCGTTTGAATTCAATATCGAAATCTAGAGATTTTAAAGTGAAATATTTCCATCAAAAGGTAAGTGAAATTCATTGATAAAATTCTTTTTTTTTCATGATAATCATTTCACTCTCATTTTTCAGGTAGATCATTTTAGCTATTCAAATAATGATACATTCGAACAACGTTATCTGATATCGACCGAACATTGGCAACCAGATGGTCCTATTTGGTTTTATGCCGGTAATGAAGGTGATATTTTTACCTTTGCCAATAATACCGGTTTCATGTGGGATAATGCACAAGATTTTCATGCAATGATCATATTTATGGAACATCGTTATTATGGTACATCGATGCCATATGGAAAAAAATCATTACAAAATCTTTCATTTTCCGGTTATTTGACCGTCGAACAAGCATTGGCTGATTATGCGGATTTTATTGCCGATATTAAAAGAACAATTGTTGGTGCTAAAAAAAGTCCAGTCATTGTAATTGGTGGCAGTTATGGTGGTATGCTTGCATCATGGTTTCGTATTAAATATCCACATCTTTGTGTTGGTGCATTAGCTGCATCGGCACCAGTGTTACAATTTCCCGGTATCTATAATTGTAATGGTTATAGTCATATTGTTACAGAAGATTTTAAAAATTATTCACCAAAATGTTCACAATCTATACGACAATCATGGAATGCAATACGTCGTATAGCAAAAACTGATGATGGACTAAAATTTTTATCCAATCAATTTGAATTATGTGAACAATTAACTAAACAACAATTACAATCATTTATTGATTGGATAACAGATATATGGCAAACATTACCAATGATTGATTATCCAAATCCATCTGATTTTTTGGCCAAATTACCAGCATATCCTATTAAAATGGTTTGTCAATATCTAACCGAACCGGATGCTGATGATCGACAATTGATAATGAATATAGCAAAAGGTGTATCTGTTTATACTAATTATAGTGGCAATACTGAATGTAATCAGATTAGTGAAAATAATGATCGTTTAGGTATTAGTGCATGGAGTTTTCAAGCATGTACCGAAATGGTTTTACCATTATGTACAAATGGTGTAAATGATATGTTCGAACCAGAACCATGGATATTTAATGATTTTTCGGATGATTGTCGAGAAAGATATGCAGTCGGTTCAGAACGATATAAAGCATTAATAATGTTTGGTGGTAAACATATTGGCCATACAGCAACGAATATTATATTCAGCAATGGTCTTCGTGATCCATGGAGTGCTGGCGGTATATTGGAAACACTTTCGGATACATTGATTGCAATTAAAATACCCGGTGCTTGTCATCATGAAGATCTTCGTTCACAAGGACCAAATGATCCGAAAGTTTTGCTGAAAGCAAGAGAACAAGAATTGGAAATTATTCGTGGATGGCTACAAACATATTATAATGATAATCAAATTGAATTTAAATTTTAAAAATCAATGGATTTTTTTATTATTTTGATTTCATTGACAAATGTTTTTTAAATTATTGACCAGAAAAATTATAATAAATTCCAAATTGTTGGTTGCATGACTAAATTAATTTTTTTCCGAAAGTTTTAGGAATCGGCAACAACTAATGTAATGTGGATGCGGTAATTATTTATCCGTTGGTTTTTGTTTATTCATTTTGATCGTACTCGTTTCCCGTATTGGATCGGGCCGTTGATCAATTTTCAATGATCGTCGAACTTGTTGTGCGGCAATTCTTGAGAATTGCAAATATGTAAGGCCAACATTTCGCCAATAACTCATTTTGTTTGTTTGTTTGTTTGTTTGAATGATGAATCTTTGGTCTAAATTAAAACAAAAACAAAAAAATTAATTGAATTTCGAAATTATTATAAAGAATATTCTCACCGAATTACCATGCAATATCGAACACGAAATATAGTAGCGAATTTATTTTTGTTGAGCGAATAAAAGGACAAAATTTTCAATGCCAAGTTTACAGATTGCAAACGTTTACTTGAAACGTATAAACACAGCGTAATTATTTATTTGTTGTTTTCGAAAATTCTTATTATTTTCTCAATGATATTAAATTATTCCAAAATTTTAAAAAAAGGAGGTAAATGTCAAGAAAAAAAATAATCAATTAACATAACTAAGTTAGTAGTACATTGAATGATAATTATTTTTTCTTTCTTTAGCTCCTAGCAAAAAAAAAGAAAGAAAAATTTTTCAAATTAATTCAAAAATTCATTCAATAGCCGTTTATATATCATTCATGTTCATATCCGACCATCATCATTGTCTACCTGTTTTTCGACTGGTTTAATAACAATAAGGCTTGGCATTTTTTCCCCGGTAACGATCACTTTGATCAATGTTGATCGATCAAACACCAAGATGATAAAAAAAAAAAAACTTTTTGCAATAAACATTGAAAATGTCGTGAACAAAGATGATATAATCAGACATGAATTCTTGATCATTTTTTTTGTATCTCCTCCTACTATTTTTCTCCACTTTTTTTTACCTTTTAACAAAAAAAAAAAAGCCAAACACACACACACAATTCATTCGATTCGATTTGAAATTTATTTCGTTGAATGGAAAAAAATTTTTTTCTATTAACTGGCGCATCTATTATCGGTGTGTGTGTGATAAAGGAGAATAAAAAAAAATTGAAATGAAATTCAATGATCAAATCAAAAAAAAAAAAAAAAATTCACCAGACAAGACAATGTTATGGCTGTTGTTGTTGTTGTTGTTGTTGTTGTTATTCACCCAGATGCTGATGAACAACAAAAAAATTTTTTTTTCTTTCAAAATACACAGATATAGACAGACAGAACCATTTTTTTCAGCCATGTTGTCGATGTTCGATACAGGTTCTTCTTTTTTTTCAAGAACATTGTCCATTATATCATCATCATCATCATCATAAATGAATTGGCCAATTCTTGTTTTCAGATCTTTCTGGTCGAAAATAATACCTGTTTTTTTTTCTTCTTCTTCTTCTTCTTGATTTCTATCATCATTCATTCACTTTTTTTTTTCTGTCTGTCTTATTATTGTTGTTGTTGTTGTTGTTGTTGTTATATATAACCTTTCGCGATATTGATGATGATGATGATGATTGGTGAATCTTGTTTTTTCAAATGAATTACAACAAGTTAATGGTCGTAGTGGTGGTGGTTGTCGTTGTTGTTGTTGTTGTTGTAAGCCATCTCGACCGGACAAGACCGGACTTGTTTGTTGCTGCTGCTGTTTTATGATATCAATTCTTTCTAGTGAAACAAAAAAATTCATATCAATTCAATTCAATTGGTACTAGTGGCTTTGGTTTTTTTGTTGTTGTTGTTGTTCATCATCATTTCATCGTGAAAATCTTTGGATTTTTTTTCTGTTTCTTTAGTCTGTATGACACGGGCACATTCGAATGTTCGATGATGGTGATGATGATGTTGTGCAGCATTACAACGAATCACATATATCGGTTCAAATACACAAAATCATATCAATTGTTCAATTGGTATAGATCTTGTTGTTGTTGTTTCTTCGGTTTTCATCGTGAAAATCTTTGGATTTTTTACCGACTTTAGTCTTTCTTCTTCGATTATTGTTTTCAGCAACGAACATTTGTTCAAATACATCACATTGTTCATAGAGAGAGAGAGAGAAAAGCATATTTTTGGTCATTTTTTTTCATTCGTCTTTTTTTTCGGATGGAAAAATTATCTTTAAATCTTGGTGATGTTGTTGTTTGTTGTTGTTGTTGTTGTTGTTGTTATCATTAGCATCAAATCAGTGTCCAGTTTTGTTTTCGACTCTTTTCCATTTATATAATTTGTTCAGACTCTTCCATTTTTTTTTTTGGATTTCAATTCATTCACAACAACAACAACAACAACAACAGCATCGACATGATGATGGCTTTAGATTGAATAAAAAGAAGAAGAAAATTTATTCAAATGATTTCCATCGTTCGGGTATATAAAATCATGAATTTCATCATCATCATCATCACAATGTTTAATGTGTGATTCAAATTTTGATTGAATAACAAAGCAAACAACAATCGAATAAAAACAATCGATTGTTTGTGTTTGTTTGTTTGGAATCCACAAAAACAACAACAACACATCCTTTTGTTTTTGTTTTCTGTTCGAAATTCGAATTCATCAATTTAATAATCATCATCATCGTCGTAATCGTCGTGTTGTCCAATATCCAAGTGAGATCAATGTTTTTTTGTGTTTTCGTTTGTGTGTTATTTGAAAAAAAAATTATGTAAATCTCATCTCATTCGATTTTTTTATTTATGATGTAATGACTTTGTGAAATTGTCATTTCATTTCAAATTTCATTCTTTCATTTGTTTCAATGTTTTGTGTTTTGAAGAATGATTATTTTGTACTGATCATCATCATCATTATCATCGATATGGTTTGATTTGTATATGGTATTTATCTTTGGTTCAATGACGTTGACGAATTTTTTATTATTATTATAATCATTTGTTATTTGATGACAAAAATTTTTTTTCCATCTTTCGTTTGTGTGTATGTAATGTTATATTTGATAATGTAAATTATATCATCATTTTGATATTGACAAAATTATCATCATAAATATTGCGTTTTTCATTGTGGATGTTAAAACACATCATCATCATCATCATCATCCATTATGGCAAACATTTTGATTGTCAAACATTTGACAAATCGATGAATTTTGAATTGATCAACTTTTATTTTTCTCTTCACAGATTAAAACAGTGTTTTGTGCTATTTGAAAGAAAAAAATTCTTTTTCATCACCAGCATCATCTTTTTTTCTAAAGATCATCAAATTCAATTCAACAAGGTATGTATGTGTGTTGATCATTAATTGAAGAAAATTGAATTTTTCCTTGCCTAATTTTCTTGAAATCTATTACTATCCTGTCTATATCTTTCCATTATCGATATCGATCGATAATCATATATCAATTACCATTCAAATTATCATTCATTCATATATGAATAAATTATCAAATAGAAATTCATTTCATTTCATTTGTGTGTATGCGTGTGTTTCCATATAAATTGAATTTGTATTTCAAATTTTTTTTCTAATTTTAAAATTTAATTTCATATCATCTTTGAAATCGATTTTTTTTCTGTACATCGTTTTTTTTATCATTTTTCTGACAACCAATCTGTTTATAAATATAAATCCGGTTTTTTTTGTTCCTCTATAGATGATGATGGACTTTGAATTTCTTTACACATTTGTTCATTCATTCATCAGCGATTTGATCACACACACACACACACATCATTCATGTTTGCGTGTGTATCCGTTTTTTTTTTGTTTAACGAATTTATCATTTCAATTTCATAACATTCCTATGATGATGATGATGATTCGGCATTTTTCATTTCATTTTAATGATGATAGTGGAAAAGGTATGTTTTCTGGTTATCTGGTTAGCTTCCTATTTTTAATTTTGCCATGATAATGATGATGACCGTAATCTGTTTCTCATCATTATCATCGTCATCATCATCTATAGATTGATGATCGATTGATTGATCCAATTTTGATTTCTTGATTATCTATTTGAATCTTTGGTTGGTTTTTTTTCTGTATTTTCATAGTTGTCATTCATATCAAATCATCATCATCATCATCATCATTGTTATTATGATCATGTAAAGTCATTGGACTTTTATTTTGTCATTTTCATCATTGAATTGACATTTTGTCTGGCAGATTTTTCTTTCTTTTTTTTTCTCGGTTACCCGTTGTTGTCAAGATTTCATTGATGATTGGCATTGTTATTCTTGTTGGCCGGTAAGTCAACAGCATCTGACAACTACGGCGACAATCTGGACAATTCTCAAACAACCTGTCTGTGTGTCTGTATATGTGTATGTGTGTGTATGTATTTTGTACGGACTGCTGCAATTTTTTTTTTCATCCATTTTGATTTGCTGTTTTTTTCCTATGGTTCGAAGCTAATTCTCATAATTTTTTTTGTTGTTGTTTCTTCTATTTGTTTATGTTTATTTCGTAGTCAAACTAATTGTTCTGGGAGATCTTTTTTTTTGAAAGAACAAAACTTGTTTGCCTGGTTTGTTTTGTGTGTGTGTGAGTGTGTGTCCATTTTCAATCATTCATAAGAAAACCAAAGATTGAGAAAAAAAAACAGCGATGAAATTATCATTTGTCATTACGTAACAGCAGCAACAGCAATATTTCATTCGATTTGAAAAAATAAAAATCAATGACAATGAACACGATTGATGAAGAATTTTTCTTTTTTTTGTTTTCAGAAAAAAAACTTTCACTTTGTGTTGAAATAATAATATGGACAGAATCTATCATCGGATGGTCATAAATCATTCAATAATGGCCAAATACAAGCAACAACAACAACAACAACAACAACAAGGTGGTCGTTATAAAAAAAACCAGAACTGAAAAAAAATTGAAATCAAAGAAACATTGATATATAAACGACTTATCCGATATGTTGTTGTATACATATATATAAATCATGGCCATCATGATGATGATTGTGACCGGGTATTATCATTATCCATC